GCACTAACCCTTTCTTCCCAGGTGGTCTCCAGCGTGCCTCCCTCGGAGCCAGGACCTCGCCGAGCCCCCACCCTGTCTCTCTTCCCTCTGCACAGCTCTCCTTTCCCCACCCCACTCTCCCTGGGAGTCCTGTCCCTCTCCACGTCCCTGCCCCCCGAGCACCAGTGTCAGTGTCTGCTGCTGAGCCAAACCCCATGAGAGACCCTGCCGGCTGGGGGCAGGGCTGGGCGCCCTGGGGAGGGCTGGACTCTTCTGCTCCATCCTAGCCTGGAGCTGTCTCCGGGAACCCCTTCCTCTGCTGACTCTGAGGGTGCTGGGAGGGGGGCACACAGGCTGCATCAGGAACCTGGGGAGAGAGCTGACACCCCTATGCCTCCCCCAGCCTGGAATGGGCGGGTGCTTCTGACACCCACAGTGGGTATGCAAACATCACTCTACCTTGCAATTTTTGCAGGAGGAAGAAAGTGGAGTTTAAAAAAAAAAAAAATCTCTGTTCTGATGTGGTTGGTGAAGGACGGGCCCTAGGGGCGGAAAGAAGGGAGAAGGGGCTAGTACTGAGTCCCTCGACTGTCAAAGCCAGACGGGCCCCCGCAGTGGGCAGACTCTGCCCCCCCCACCTGAATCCCATGAGACCGTCTCTGGGAGGACTCTCGCCAACCCCCTTCTCCCCAGCCTGTGGGGTCTCTAGCAGCCAGGGAAGGGAGGAGGGGCGTCACTTCCCTCACTAACCCTGCTCTTAATGGCCTCCAGGGAGAGGGGCAGCTGGGCGGGGAGGGGGAGGGGGCTCCCAGCCCGGAAACCCCCTTCCATCACCAGCCCTACCAAGCAACCGTGACTGCAGCAGCAGGAGGGGACGACCTGGCTTCCCTGAGCGGCGTGACCAACTTGCCTCTTTCCCCTTTCTCTTTCCCTCCTACCTCTGGCTCCTCGCTTGTCTCCTCCCTGCCCAACCCCCTGCCCAGTCTTCGTGTGCCCAGGGACCCTGCAGAAGGTACTGGAGCCCACCTCGACGCACGAGTCGGAGCACCAGTCCGGCGCATGGTGCAAGGACCCGCTGCAGGCAGGCGACCGCATCTACGTGATGCCCTGGATCCCCTACCGCACGGACACGCTGACCGAGTACGCCTCGTGGGAGGACTACGTGGCCGCGCGTCACACCACCACCTACCGCCTGCCCAACCGCGTGGACGGCACAGGCTTCGTGGTCTACGACGGCGCCGTCTTCTACAACAAAGAGCGCACGCGCAACATCGTCAAGTATGATCTGCGGACGCGCATCAAGAGTGGGGAGACGGTCATCAACACGGCCAACTACCATGACACCTCGCCCTACCGCTGGGGCGGCAAGACGGACATCGACCTGGCGGTGGACGAGAACGGGCTGTGGGTCATCTACGCCACCGAGGGCAACAACGGGCGGCTGGTGGTGAGCCAGCTCAACCCCTACACGCTGCGCTTCGAGGGCACGTGGGAAACCGGCTACGACAAGCGCTCGGCCTCCAACGCCTTCATGGTGTGCGGGGTGCTCTACGTGCTGCGCTCCGTCTATGTGGACGACGACAGCGAAGCGGCCGGCAACCGCGTGGACTACGCCTTCAACACCAACGCCAACCGCGAGGAGCCGGTCAGCCTGGCCTTCCCCAACCCCTACCAGTTCATCTCCTCCGTCGACTACAACCCTCGCGACAACCAGCTCTATGTCTGGAACAACTATTTCGTGGTGCGCTACAGCCTGGAGTTCGGGCCGCCCGACCCCAGTGCTGGTGAGGATGGCTCACTTCCGGCCCGGAGCCTGCCTGCGTGTGCCCCCCGCCCCAGCCCCCTCCGTCCCGGGGTGGGGCCCACTCCAAGCTCTTGGGGATCTGGAGGTAGAGGACAGCCACGGCATGTGACAGGCGTCGCTCTGAGCACTTTGCAGTTACCTGGCCTCGTCCCCGTCCGCCAGGCAGGGATCCTCACTGCCCCCGTTTTGCAGACGAGGAAGCTGAGGCCCTGGGTGGGCATTCACTGACCTGAACCCAGGACTTGCCTTCCAGCCACTGAACGGCACTGCCTCTGCCAGGGGCGGGGGCACCTTCAGTCCTGGAGCTCCAAAATTGGGGTGGAAGCCCGGTATCTCTGACAGAAGCAAGCCGAACTCATGGTGAGCAGGCTGAGGGCTTCTCCCCGTGTCGTTTCGCCCCCTCAGCTGCTCCAAGCCAGCTCTGGGGAGGCTCAGGGCTCCAGGGAGGCTGATCTCGTGCTTCCTCGGTTGCAAAAGGCGGGACTGAAGCTCCAGAGGGAAGGGGTGTGGCCAGTTAGGGCCAGTGTCCATCAATGCCCCTCTCAGGGCCTCTCCCCTCAGGCCTCAAAAGTGGGTTTTTACCGCCTTGGCTACTTCCTACGGTCATGTGGACATAAGAGACTCCCGTGGGCTCAGAGAGGCCAGGGTCTGCTCCCAAACCCAGGGGGGCCCGGGAGGCTTGGAAGACACAGAGTGGCCAGGGACCCAATACCCAGGCACGCTGTGGCTGGGCCCTGAGCTTGGTGTGACCCTGTCTTGTGTCCTCTTTCCCTTCCAGGCCCAGCCACTTCCCCGCCCCTCAGCACGACCACCACGGCCCGGCCCACGCCCCTCACCAGCACGGCCTCACCCGCAGCCACCACTCCGCTCCGCCGGGCGCCCCTCACCACGCACCCCGTGGGTGCCATCAACCAGCTGGGGCCCGACCTGCCTCCGGCCACAGCCCCAGCCCCCAGCACCCGGCGGCCCCCAGCCCCCAACCTTCATGTGTCCCCGGAGCTCTTCTGTGAGCCCCGAGAGGTACGGCGGGTCCAGTGGCCGGCCACCCAGCAGGGCATGCTGGTGGAGAGGCCCTGCCCCAAGGGGACCCGAGGTGAGTGCAGAGACTGTGGCCACCTCACAGCGGCCGGCTGGGAGGGATGGGGACACACTCCCAAACAGCTTAGCACAGGTGTCTTCGTGGGTTGCCGCCTCCGCCCTCTTGGGATAGGGTCGTCTCCAGTGCCCAGCAGGGCGCTCAGGGCACAGGCCCCACCTGCAGGGAGCCCACATGAGATGACTCGGCCCCTGGCCTTAGGCTGACGCGGGACAACCCTGGGACTAGCCAGGTGCAGGATGGACGAGCAGCTGAAGTGCCACAAGTCAGGGCCATATGCCCTGGAGATGGGAGGGTTGGAAGGGCTTCGCTGAGACGGGACTTCCGAGACGGGCCTTGCTGGAAGGTTCTAACTCTGGTAGAAGAGGAGCCGAGAGTAGATCTCAGGGACATGAGTGGCGCCTCTCCTGTTCTCTGGCCGCTTCATGCCTGTTTTCCGTGTTCCCCTCACCTCTGCCCACTCGCCCCCGCTCTCTGTCACCTGCTTCCTCCTCTGGTCCATCCTTCTCTCCTTCCCTTTGGCTCCCTTGTCTGTTCCTGTCCGTCTGTTCCTGCAGGAATTGCCTCCTTCCAGTGTCTACCAGCCCTGGGGCTCTGGAATCCCCGGGGCCCTGACCTCAGCAACTGCACCTCCCCCTGGGTCAACCAGGTGGCCCAGAAGGTACCCGCCGCCGCCGCCCCTCGCAGGCAGGCACATTTGCTCGGGCCCAGGGCCCAGCAGGGGTAGTGGAGCAATTGGGGAGACGAATGGGCTGGCAGGTCTGGAAGGCAGGACTTTAGGGTCCCCTCCCTGGCCAACAGAGGGAGCAGAGACAGATGGGGTGGGAAGGGCAGGCAGGGAGAGGGGGAGTAGAGAGGGCTGGGAGGGCATGTGACGAGGCTATGCTGCGAGTGGGATGGTCCCTGACAGACCTGGGGCTCCCCCTCCCCCACTTCGTGCAGATCAAGAGCGGGGAGAACGCAGCCAACATAGCCAGCGAGCTGGCCCGCCACACCCGGGGCTCCATCTATGCGGGGGATGTCTCTTCCTCCGTGAAGCTGATGGAGCAACTGCTGGACATCCTGGATGCCCAGCTGCAGGCCCTGCGGCCCATCGAGCGCGAGTCGGCGGGCAAGAACTACAATAAGGTGGGCCTGGCAGGGCTGCGGGCCAGGGCGCATCCCTGGGGCTTGGGAGTATCCACCCCGTGCTGTCAGGCCGGGCTGTGGGCCATACAGGGCTGAGTCAGAAAGGAAGGGCCCTGCGGGCTGCTGGGTCTCACTCCTGTGCTGCCATGGCTGGGCTTGGGGGTTGGGGATCCCTGAGGAATGCATGGCTGACAGCCCAGGCCAGGTGGGTGGCAGACAGGAGAGAGAGCTGTCAGGCCTGGATGGGAGAGGGCTGAGGCTAGGGGACCTGTGCCCAGAGGCCCACCCTGACACACCTCTCTCCCTAGATGCACAAGCGAGAGAGAACCTGCAAGGATTACATCAAGGTGAGACCTAGGGGGGCCCGATGTAAGGACCGTGGACTCTGGCTGACCGAGGGGAGCAGGGTGGGAGTTGAGAGATGAAGAGCCCACCCCAAGGAACGGCACCATCTTCCCTGCCTGTGCAGGCCGTGGTGGAGACAGTAGATAACCTGCTTCGTCCAGAGGCTCTCGAGTCCTGGAAGGACATGAATGCCACAGAGCAGGTGCACACGGCCACCATGCTCCTGGATGTCCTGGAGGAGGGTGCCTTCCTGTTGGCTGACAACGTCAGGGAGCCTGCTCGCTTCCTGGCTGCCAAGGAGAATGTGGGTGAGTGCTGGAGCCACCTGGGCAGATGCAAATCTTGAGCCACGGGGGACTGGCCTGGAGACCATGGGGGATGCCTGGTGCCCCAGCCCTCGACCTTGGGCCTCTTGCCACAGGGCCTTGTTCCGCAGCTGGAGCCCCTGGATGGGGGACAGACCCCCGCTGTCTGTGACTTGCTATCTTCTCTCCCCCCAGTCCTGGAGGTCACAGTCCTGAACACAGAGGGCCAGGTGCAGGAGCTGGTGTTCCCCCAGGAGGAGTACCCGAGGAAGAACTCTATCCAGCTGTCTGCCAAAACCATCAAGCAGAACAGCCGCAACGGTCAGTGTCCCCCATGGTGCCTCTGGTGGGGACACAGGCACCCCAGCCCTCTGCTGGTGTATCTGCTCCATTTACGGAAGGCAATGGTCCTGAACTTTTATAAGGTTTTATCTGCTCAAGCTAGTGAAAGTTCTCAGGGGATTTGTGTGTCTCCTGAAGCCCCAGAGAGCTCTAAGATGAGCCTTGCTGTTTACAGAGCTCCTCCTGGGCAGTAGTAGCTCAGCTGGGCCTCATAGCTCAGAGAGGATTGTGCCATTTGTGACAAAGGCTCAGAGAGACTAGAGATTTGCCTCAGGACATACAGCCGAGTGTATCCAGGCACTGCCCTGTTACTTGGAACTGCCTAGCTGAGCAGTGGTCCTGTGGACAGGGCTCCCTCAGCCCCCTCTTAACTGGGCTATGGCCTGGCTTCAGAGGTTCCAGCGGCCAGCATGACTGAGGGCCATGGAGCTGGCCGAGCCAGGAAACCAGGGGCCTGGGCGGAAGTGTGTTGGCTGAGTACTGATGGCACATCTGACTGTGCCTGTCCTCCCAGGGGTGGTCAAGGTTGTCTTCATCCTCTACAATAACCTGGGCCTCTTCCTGTCCACGGAGAACGCCACGGTGAAGCTGGCCAGCGAAGCAGGCCCGGGTGGCCCCGGGGGCGCCTCCTTGGTGGTGAACTCGCAGGTCATCGCGGCATCTATCAACAAGGAGTCCAGCCGCGTCTTCCTCATGGACCCTGTCATCTTCACCGTAGCCCACCTGGAGGTGAGCTGAGCTGGCCCCTTTCTCCACGGGGACCCCGCATCCTCTGTATTCCTGCGCTATGTATCTGCCCCCACTGTGCGTCCCCCTCCAGAGCAAGTTACAACCTCACCCTCTTTAGGAGCCTGGGCCATTTGTCCTCAGAGATCTCAGCCTGTCACCTGGAGCCCTCAGCCCCAGGCACTTCCCACGTTTGTCACTGTCCCTGTAGCTGGGTGTGGGGGGCTGGAGTGGGATTCCCCGGCTCTGACTCCCCGGCTACCACATGACAGGACAAGAACCACTTCAATGCTAACTGCTCCTTCTGGAACTACTCGGAGCGCTCCATGCTGGGCTACTGGTCGACCCAGGGCTGCCGCCTGGTGGAGTCCAACAAGACCCATACCACATGCGCCTGCAGCCACCTCACCAACTTTGCCGTGCTCATGGCTCACCGTGAGATCGTAAGCTGGCCAGCTCTCTGCTCCTCTAGGCGGGCCGCTTGCTGGCCCTGCTTTGCATGGTATCCTAGAGCACGCGGCATGGATGGCGCCAGGGAAGGCCAGCCTCATGGGCATGGGGGGTCCGGTCTTGCCTGGGGCATGAGGTCATGCATCTGGTCCTCTCTGGCCACAGTCCAGCCTTTTCCCAAGACACTCTGGAGAAGCAGCTGGTGTCACCTTTGTCATCTCTCCACAGCCTTCCAGAGTTTGAGAAAGTGAGCCCAGTGCCGCCTGCAGAGGGGTGGGGGCTGGCGAGCTGGCCGGGTGGGCTGCACTGGAGGGCCTTGTGGCCTGTGCCCTGGCCCAGGGCCCTGCCCACAGCTGGCACCTGGCTGAGCCCGGAGTGCAAAGATAAAGGCCCTGAGCGCACCCCCTGCTCCTGTCCCCAGTACCAGGGCCGCATCAATGAGCTGCTGCTGTCAGTCATCACTTGGGTGGGCATTGTGATCTCCCTGGTCTGCCTGGCCATCTGCATCTCCACCTTCTGCTTCCTGCGAGGGCTGCAGACCGACCGCAACACCATCCACAAGAACCTGTGCATCAACCTCTTCCTGGCCGAGCTGCTCTTCCTGGTCGGGATCGACAAGACTCAGTATGAGGTGGGCTGGGGCTTGCGGGCAGGTGACGGCCAGCGCCAAGGGGCGGGAGAGGAAGGCAGATGCCTGCTGGGTCCCCCCTCACCTGTGGTGCTCCCCGCAGATCGCCTGCCCCATCTTCGCGGGCTTGCTGCACTACTTCTTCCTGGCCGCCTTCTCCTGGCTCTGCCTGGAGGGTGTGCACCTCTACCTGCTGCTGGTGGAGGTGTTTGAGAGCGAGTATTCCCGCACCAAGTACTACTACCTGGGCGGCTACTGCTTCCCGGCCCTGGTGGTGGGCATTGCGGCCGCCATCGACTACCGCAGCTATGGCACCGAGAAGGCGTGAGTGTGCCCCTTGCCCCGCCCCATCTCTCCTGCCCGGCCCCCTCTTCGGTGGCACCCCTTGGGCCGGGACCCTCGGGGCATCCCTCCTCCTGACCCCGCGGCTGTGGCCTGAAGAGGAGTCCCCGGCCTCCTGGGCTGCTCACGACTCCGGCGCACTTCCTTTCCAGCTGTTGGCTCCGAGTAGACAATTACTTCATCTGGAGCTTCATTGGGCCCGTGTCCTTCGTGATTGTGGTAAGTTGGAAGGCAGCACCCGCAGCACTGTGCTTCCTTCCTTCGTCCAGGCTGGCCTGGGCCCAAGCCCCTCCCCCAAGTGCTCTCCCCAAGTGGTGAGAAGCACTGGTTTGAAAACCACACGGGAACCGAGCCACTGCTAGAGGGTGAGAGCAGGCTGTGTAGAGCGCCAGTGCTGAGGGCCACTGGCCCGGGAGCTGTTACCTGAACTCCGACTGTGTGTCAGGCCGCAGCAAGGAGTGACAATGGACTACCAGTCATGCCAGCCAGCTAGCAGGGGACACCTCAGGGGCAGGTGTGGGGGCAGGTGCCGGGTTCTCCCAGCGGTGGAGTGGTGGGGGGCTGAAGTGGGCTTTCTGGACCAGGCCTTAGCTCAGAGCTCATGCAGGAGGGGGCACTCTCAGCCCAGTTCCCTGCCCTTGTCCCGCCCCCAGGTGAACCTGGTGTTCCTCATGGTGACCCTGCACAAGATGATCCGAAGCTCATCTGTGCTCAAGCCCGACTCCAGCCGCCTAGACAACATTAAGTGAGCTCCCCTATCTCCACTCCGTAACCCCCATGCAGGGCCAACCCCTCCCAGGGTGTCCTAAAAGGTGGCGCTCTAACCTCTGGTGACACACCATGGTGTCAATATGCATGTTTTATTGTACTCACCATGTGCCTACCCTAACAGGTATTAGAAAGCACATCATTAGCACATCTGACCTGTGATTTTAGGGGCAGGACTGCATAGGGTGAGGCTAAATTCAAAAGGTGAGCTTGTTTAAGAGCAATTTAAAGAAAAATAGGGCTGGGCACAGTGGCTCACGCCTATAATCCCAGCACTTTGGAAGGCCGAGGTGAGAGGATAGCCTGAGCCCATGGGTTTGAGACCAGCCTGGGCACTTGGCAAGACCTCATCTCTACAATTAAAAAAAAAAAAAAGAAAGAAAATTAGCCGGGCATGGTGGCACATGTCTGTAGTTCCAGCTACTTGGAAGGAAGGCTGAGGCGAAAGGATTACTTGAGCCCAGCAGGTCGAGGCTGCAGTGGCTGTGAGCATGCTACTGCACTCCAGCCTGGGTGACAGAGTGAGACTCCCAATTAAAAAAAAACAAAGTGAGAGAAATAGGCAGCAAAATGTAACTTAAGTGGAAATGTGGCAGACGTGATGACGCCAGTGGCTTCCCCTCAGGCCCAAGCTGGGTTAAGTGTCCCTGGCCTACTTGTCTCCAGGCTGGGTCTTTGCAGACAGTGCCCAGACCCACCCAAGGGCCCCCTTCGAGGGCTGTCAGGGAGGCCTAGGCTGAAGCTATCTCCTCGGTGGGTACCTTGACACCCTTGTCCCTCCATTCCCAGATCCTGGGCCCTGGGGGCCATTGCACTGCTCTTCCTGCTGGGTTTCACCTGGGCCTTCGGCCTCCTCTTCATCAACAAGGAGTCGGTAGTCATGGCCTATCTCTTCACCACTTTCAACGCCTTCCAGGGGGTCTTCATCTTTGTCTTTCACTGCGCCTTACAGAAGAAGGTGAGGTGGGGGCAGGGGCCTGGGTCAGAGACTCAGAGCCATTTCCCAGGCACTCAGGAGAGGGAGGCGAGGGTGAAGGGGACCCAGGCGCTCCCTCAAGCCCCCAGTACATGCTGCAGGTGTCTGCCTTCTATAGTGGGGCATGCATCCACTGGGAGGGGAGCACAGTCTCAGGGTCAGGGAGCATCTGGCCACCGATGAAAAGAATTCTGGAAAGAAGTAAGATATGGGGGCTGGGAAGAGGAAGAGTAGGAGATTTGGTGACAGGATGCCCCACCATGATGAGGGCCACAACTCAGGCCTGCAGGAGGTAGGTGGCCTAAGGGAACATTTCCTGTGCTAATAGTTCTAGAAATAACTATGAATGTTGTGTTAATATCTGAATCTTAAAAACGTATACAAAGAAGACAACAGCATAGGGGAGTGTGGGGAGGGAGTCCAGGCACTTGGGACTACAGCTGGGGCGACAGCCGAGGCATTTGTGGCCGTGGTCCCAAAGGCAGTGAGGGCCGTGGCAGACTTGCCAGCTGTGGGTGGTGAAGGCGGGTGGCCAGTGCAGGGGAGGGTGGAGGCCTTGATCCCGAGAATCTCAGTTGCAAGGGAGGTGGACTGTATCCCTGCTGTGCCTCAGACAGTCAAAGGCATCGTCCTTGCCTGACCCCGACCTTACATGCAGTGACAATGGTGTCCTTACAGGAACCCCCAGACCTATACGGTCTGACTTGGGCCCCTCGGCTCCTCTAGCCTCCCCCCTTGCTCCCCTGTGCTCCCACCTAGACACAGACCCTCCTCAGGGCATGGCCCCTGCTTTTCCCTCAGCCTGAGGCTCCTTCCCAGATAGGCCTTGACCAGACGTCTCCTCAGCGAGGCTTCCACTGATCTTTTAAAACTCACAACCTCCCCTCCCAAGTCAGCACTGCCTAGCCCGCTGCCTGGCCATAGCTTTCTCTGCGGCACCTAAACTGTCAGACGGCCTATGGAACATGTTTATGTTTGCATCTGTATTCTGTCTCTCTACTAAAATGTCAGCTCTGAGGTAGGGATTTGTGTCTGTTGTGTCCTGCGCGGTCCCTAGGCCTAAGCTGTGCTCACTGAGGCTCTGCTGAGTTTGTGAATGAATGAGATACTGTCAGTGGAGGTAAAGAGATGGGTGTGAGAGAACGGAGCAAGCCTGACTGGTCGCTGTGGGAAGCCAGGTGACAGCAAGGTTTCTGGGGCCTGCCAGTTACTGAGCCGGCTTGGTCTGTGGACTCCTGAGGCTGCCTCTCTTCTGACCAGCCCTGTGAGCGGCTGGATCACAAGGGAGGCCAGTGTCCCGCTAGCAGACTGTCCTCCTCACCCGCCAGGTGCACAAGGAGTACAGCAAGTGCCTGCGTCACTCCTACTGCTGCATCCGCTCTCCACCTGGGGGCACTCACGGCTCCCTCAAGACCTCAGCCATGCGGAGCAACACCCGCTACTACACGGGGACCCAGGTATGGGGTCCGGGCAGGGTTCCCTGGGGCTGAGCGCCGGAACTCCTAGAGGCAGGGGTGTGGTCTCTGATGGTGCTGATCAGGCAGTGATCTCAGAAAGACCCTGGAGGGTAGGTGGCCCGAGGACCCCCTCATATCTGGGCTGTGTCCCCAGAGCCGAATCCGAAGGATGTGGAATGACACTGTGAGGAAACAGACGGAGTCCTCCTTCATGGCAGGCGACATCAACAGCACCCCCACCCTGAACCGAGGTGAGAAGGCCAGCCCTTGGCTCTACCTTCAGGCCCTCCGGGCTCCTGGACCCATGTTTCCAGGCCACCTTGTAACTGCTGATCCCTTGGGCAGGTACTATGGGGAACCACCTGCTGACCAACCCTGTGCTGCAGCCTCGTGGGGGCACCAGCCCCTACAACACCCTCATCGCTGAGTCAGTGGGCTTCAATCCTTCCTCGCCCCCCGTCTTCAACTCCCCAGGTGAGAGCACGCTGGGAACCACCCCAGGTCAGGACCTGAGAGGCTTGCATCCTGAGGGGCCTCCTCTTGGGGCGTTCTCACCCTCTGAACTGGAGCCTGAACTTGCAGTCCGAGCTCACTCTCACCTTCTCTCTTTTCTCTCCTGGCTGGCACCCGCAGGGAGCTACCGGGAACCCAGTAAGTGCGACTCTTTCCCGGGAACGTTTCCAAGGCTGGGGAAGGAAGCAGAGCGTGGCCTCAGATGCCTCACTTAGGGAGGAGAACTGCCCCCTGCCCCCACAGTCTCTGTTGGCTTTCAGGTGGGGGATGAAGCTGATGAGAGTCAGAGCATAAGAAAGGATCCAGGCACCCAGGCTTCGGGAGAGGGTTTGGGGGAAACTGGTCCTTACCACCCCACCCTTCCACCAACCTGCTGCTGGGCTGGTGTCCCACTGCCAGTGAGGAAGAAAGGGCGTGTGCAACCAGAGTCCCCAGGGGCTGGGGTGAGCCCAAAGAAAACCAGATCGAATCGAGCCCCTCTTCTCCACACAGACCACGCCCCTCTCACCTCCCACAGATGCGGTTGGGCCCTCTCTTCCTCCTGACCAGCCCTATTCTGCCCTACAGAGCACCCCTTGGGAGGCCGGGAAGCCTGCGGCATGGACACCCTGCCCCTGAATGGCAACTTCAACAACAGCTACTCCTTGCGAAGCGGGGATTTCCCTCCAGGGGACGGGGGCCCTGAGCCGCCCCGAGGCCGGAACCTGGCTGATGCTGCTGCCTTCGAGAAGATGATCATCTCGGAGTTGGTGCACAACAACCTGCGGGGGAGCAGCGGTGGGGCCAAGGGCCCTCCACCACCTGAGCCCCCTGTTCCGCCTGTACCAGGGGGTGGCGGCGAGGAAGAGGCAGGCGGGCCCGGGGGTGCTGACCGGGCGGAGATCGAACTTCTCTATAAGGCCCTGGAGGAGCCTCTGCTGCTGCCCCGGGCCCAGTCGGTGCTGTACCAGAGTGATCTGGACGAGTCGGAAAGCTGCACAGCAGAGGACGGCGCCCCCAGCCGGCCCCTCTCCTCCCCTCCAGGCCGGGACTCCCTCTATGCCAGCGGGGCCAACCTGCGGGACTCGCCCTCCTACCCGGACAGCAGCCCTGAGGGGCCCAGCGAGGCCCTGCCTCCACCCCCACCCGCTCCGCCCGGCCCTCCTGAAATCTACTACACCTCGCGCCCACCAGCCCTGGTGGCCCGGAACCCCCTGCAGGGCTACTATCAGGTGCGGCGGCCTAGCCACGAGGGCTACCTGGCAGCCCCAGGCCTTGAGGGGCCAGGGCCCGATGGGGACGGGCAGATGCAGCTGGTCACCAGTCTCTGAGGGGACCTCACGGACCAGGGGCTGGTGGCCCAGGCCAGGGAGGGGGAACCCTGGGCAGGCTCTGGTGGGAGAGGGAGACTAATGGAGGCAGTGGCTGGTGGGCCACTCTCTCCAGGTGCCCCTCGGCTGCGGGCCCTACAGCCCCCTGGGGGCCTGAGGTGCCAGGGTTCACAGACAGGGTTTCCCACCAGCCACATGCACCAGCTCTATTTGGGGCAAGTGCAGTGAGGAGGAGCCCGGAAGGCCCCTGGGGAGTGAGGAGGGAGAACCGGAAGGGCGCAGCCACTCCTTGACTCCCCCCCACCCTTCCTACGCCCTGAAGGGACAGGAGGGCTTTGGTTTCCCTGGACAGGGAGGGCAACTTCTGAGGTGGCCAAAGGCCCCCCCTGGATTGACTGTCAGCTGCTCCTCTCTGCAGCCAGAAACGCTGTGGCTGCAGCAGAAGGGAGCAGTGAGGCAGGACAGACGGACAGGTTCCTCCTGCACTACAGTTTCCTGCCCCCTGGAGACTGGGGCCGAGGGGTATGGGGGTTGTGGCTCTGCTGGTGGTCTCAAGGTCGGACTTTCTCTGAAGCTCCTTCCCCCTTGCTCTTGGCCCCTGCCTCCCATGCAAGCCTGTCCCCTCAGTGTCCCCCCTCTCCCCGTGCACCCAATGACCCCCTCGGGGTGACTCCTGATGAAGCACAACTCCCCGCAGGGCCTCTAGCCCACAGGGTGGCCATATTTGGGCAGTTCCCAGTCCTGTGGGCTTGGCTATCTGGGGAGCAGATTTTGGGTCTGGATCTCCCTGGGGAGTGGGTCCTGGGCTTGGATCTTTCCCTAGGGGGCCCTCTTACCCCTTCCTCTCTCCTCCTCCTCTTCCCCCATTGCTGTAAATATTTCAACAAAATGGAAAAGAAAAAAGACAAAAAAAAAGAAAAAAATCTCATCACTTGAAGCCACCAGGAGCCTGCGGCCCGGGCCAGCCCGGGCTTTCTCCGGAGCAGAGTGGCACTGCCGGCCCGGCAGCCAGGACTTCTCCGTGTATGCGTGCAGCCCCAGCCCCAGCTGGGGTGGGCGGGCCACCAGAGCAGCTTTTTACAATCCAGAGACAGAAAACAAAATCTAGATGCAACAGCGAAACAAAGAACCTGTTTCCTTCCCGGCACCTGTTTCTGTCCCCTCCTTTCCTGCTCCACCTGCCCAGCATCATCAGCCTTCCTGGGGCGTGTACCTCACTGCCTGCCCCAGGTCCAGAGGCCTGTCTCCCCCTCCCCTCCCCATCGGCCCAGGGGAGACACCCTCACACCCAAAGATGCTTTGGCCAAGATGGCTGCGCTGTCCCTTCAAGTTCCTGCTTCTTGTATATTGCTTCGGGGACTCTGGGCTGGGAAGAAGGGGCTGACCTTCCATCTGGAGAGGTTGACGGTGAAAGGAACAGGAATTGGGAGGAGCTGGGGTAGTGGAGTGCATGGGTGTGGCTGAGGAGGGGGTTCCGGAGCGGTGTGGTGCTCTCTGGGGGAGAGGGGGAAAGGTGAGAGATCACCTTCCCTACCCTCCACCCTCCTGAGGGGGAGACAAAGCCAGGCTACCAGGGTCTGGGGTCAGGACGCCTATGTTCTGGGGGCTCAGCCCCAAGCCCCCAGGCCCAGGAAGCTCCTGAGCACCTCTCCCAGCCCCATCCAGCCTGCCAGCCCAGCCCTCCCTGCCCCCCTCCCACTTTCCAGGGGTAGCATAGCCCCACTGCTACACTAGCCCAGCCCCTCCATTGCCATTTCCCCAGGGGTGGCCCCTCCACCTCTGCTCTGACCTTCCCGTCTCTCTTGTCCCCCTCTTTCTCACAAGTGCCATGAGTTTTCAAACATCTTTGGGTCTCAGCCTGCTGCTGCCATGAACTTTGTTAAGGGGGAGGGGCTCAAGGAAGGAACTGGGGGAAGGGGACAGGTAGGTGGCTGGAGAGACCCTTTTTGCTGCTAGAAAGCCCCTCCCTTCTCCTGGGGAGCTGGGGCTGGCTTGTCCCCGTCAATTAGGGGAGAAGGGGTCAGACCAAAGATGGTGGTTTGTCCCACATGGGGAACAGGTGTGGGGAGAAAGCGGGGTTGGGTTCCATCTCTGGCTAACCCATTTCACCAGAAGACCATAGGTGAGGCTGAACAGGGAGGAGACATGAGGCTGGGGACAGTCTTGCCAGGCCACTCCGCGAAGGCAGGAGACAGCTCCATGGCCCATCCTTGACTGCACGAGGCCAGGAGCTCTGTTCTGTGGAGGAGCCCTTAGAGGTCTATGAAGAGGGGCAGGGGGCTAGGGCAGGTGGAGGAGCTGGCCCGGCCAGCCCACGGCAGCCCCTGACGGCAGGGGGGCAGGGAGTCCTGCACCCTCTCCCTGTCCCGCTCTCCTTTTATCTCCATACTCGCAATCAAGGGGAGAGGGTGCAGCGGGTCCCTTGGCTCCCATTTTAGCTGGGATCACCAAGGTGGATTCCCAGGCCTCAGAGCTGCATGACAGGGCCCCCTGGTGGGCTGGACGCCACTGCGGTCCAGCACAAAGCCACCCCTGAGAAAGCCCAGGTGTCCCCCCACCCAACCAGACCTGGTGCCTTGATGCCCCCACCTCAGCTGGGACGGTTCAGAGAAGGGTCTTGGCTTCCTCTCCCACTCCCTTCCTGGGGCTCCTGAATTCATCTCCTAAGTTGTGTTCTTTTTCGCCAGACTTTTTCTTTTGGCTTTCCCCTGCCTTCCCTTTCTTGCGTCTCCACCTCTTTCCTTGTGTCTTTCTCGCTGTCTCTGCGTTCCTCTTCTCTCAGCCTCAATTTCTCTCTGTCCATTCGGGCCTCCTCTCCTGCTCCCACGTCCCAGTCCCTCCCTCCTCAGTCTCCTTTTCGATATGCCAAACCAATTTTGGGTCGAGTGCATTTAACGAGAACAAACAAAAGGCTCATAACAACAAGAACGTTTCAGAAAAAAACAAAAAGTTTTAAAAAAATTGTTGAGTCAAAAAGTCAAACAATAAAGAAATTAAGATTTCTTGGAACGATAAGAGTGCTGTGACTCATTGGGGGAGACAAGAAATGGGTGAGTAGATCCGCAGAGGGGCATCCTGTGGCGCTTCGGTGTTCAGATCCACAGCAGAGGCCTGGCAGTTCACTCGCATTTATGGAGACCTTGGAAGTTCCCGGGCCTGGCAGGGCATTTCACTTGCAGTTTCTCTCTGAATCCTAATAGCATGTTCCAGGGTGAAGGCTGTGATTAGAGCTCCATTTTACAGACATGACACGGGCTTACGGTGCCTGGATGCACACCCAAGGCTCTGGCCAGGCCACTGTGCCATGCTGTGTCTCAGAGAGGCCCTTCTGGGCCTGGACATCTGCCCCAGGAGGCATTGGAGCAGAGCTTGAGAATTTCCATGCTGTGCGTGTCCAGCTGACTCGAACTGCCGCTCCTCAAGTCCCACACGACGCCAGTTGCGCTTTCAGACTTGACAACGTGGAAATGCAGCATGTGTATTTCATATTCTCCAATACAACTAATGTGCTCAGAGAGAATGACGACTCAAGCAGTTCAAGACTCTTCCCCTCAGCCTAAAACATGGGCATCCAGGACTCCACACTTCCAAGTCTCCTCCTACCTTTCCCACAGCCACTCCTTGTTTCCTGGGCGGCTTCCTCCTGGCCTCCCGGTGCTGATGAGATCAGGGGCTCAACCCTCAGATCTACCTGCTCTCACTGCCTGGAGATTCATCGCATTTCATGGGTTTTAACCCTACCTACAGACCGATGACTCCCAGGGCTGACCTCCAGCCTGAGCCTACACAGTCCCACCTACCTGCTCCACATCTCTCCCTGGATGTCTGACAGGATCTCAAACAACCTGTCTTAAACCGAGCTCCTGACCTCCCGGCCACCACCCCGCCCCCCGCCCGCAACTTCTCCCACCTGAGGTCTTGAGGCTTCCCCAACGGCAAGCCCATTCATCCCTCGACTCAAGCTAAAAACCTCGCAACAAGGGGCTGGGTGCGGTGGCTCAAACCTATCATGCCAGCACTTTGGGAGGCGGAGGCATGAGGACTGCCTGAGCTCAGGGGTTGGAGACCAGCCTGGGCAACTTAGTGAGACCTCACCTCCCACAATAAATCAAAAAATAAGCCAGGTATGGTTGCATGCGCCGGTAGTTCCAGCTACTTGGAAGGTTGAGGCTGAAGGATCGCCTGAGCCCAGCAGGTTGAGGCTGCGGTGGCCGGGAGCGTGCCACTGTACTCCAGTCTGGGCGACAGAATGAGACCCTAACTCAAAAAAAAAAAAACCTCGGAATTTCATTTGAACTCTCGTTTCATACTCCACATCTGATCTGACAATAAGTGTGATAGTTGCTCTAACTTCTAAGTAGCCAGAACTAATTCATTTTCACCACTTTGGTTCAAGTCACCACTGTCTTTCACCAGGACCACTGCAACAGTTCCCTACTTAGCTCATTGTCCCTCTTCAGGCTTTTCTTGACACAGAAACCGAGTGATCTTGGTAAACATATTTTGCCCTCCTCTACTCAAAATTCTCCAATGGTCTCCTCTCTCACCCAGTGGAAAGGCCAAGGTCAGCACAGTGGTCCACAAGGCCCTACAGCATCCAGCCTCACCCCATGACTCCCTGCCTCCCTCCTCTGCACCCACTGTCCTCAAACGTGCAAGCCCCCTCCTGCCTGCCTCAGGGCTTTTACACTAGCTGTTCTCTTTGTTGGCTTAGATCCGTCCTCTGCCCCCATATCCACAGGGTTCACTTTTTTCCCCCATAGGGCTTATGAAAATGAAATTCTGCTTCCCTGCTGGCCTTTCCAGGCCACTCCGAAACTTCTCAGCCCCTGGACTGGCTCTATATCCACAGCACTCCATCTAACAACCATGTTTTGCTTGTTTATTTTCTGCCTCCCACTAGAATAGAATGTAAGTTCCATGAAGGCAGGAGCTCTTGGTCTGGGCCTCGTCCAGCATCTGGCACAAAGTATGCAATCAATAAGCAGGTGCTGGATGGGCGCAGTGGTTCACACATGTAATTCCAGAACTTTGGGAGGCCAAGGCAGGAGGATCGCTTGAGGCCAGGAATTCAAAACCAGCCTGGGCAACAAAGCAAGATCCCATCTCTACAAAAAAAACCCACAAAAATTAGCCAGGTATGGTGGCGTGCACCTGTAGTCCCAGTGCATTGGGAGACTGAGGAGGGAGGACCGCTTGAGCATAGTTCAAGGCTGTGGTGAGCCATGATCATGCTACTGCACTCCAGCCTCGGCGTAAGGCCCAGAGTGAGCACAAGATGAGAGTTAAGAATGATGAAAGCTGTGAATGTGCCATTCCCTCAGCTGGTCCATTTCCACATGACTCTCACTGTGTGATGCTATGGTTTGATTCAGCATGCCCTAAACTTAAGTTAAATATTTTAGCTGAGCCGGGCTCGGTGGCTCAGCCTGTAATCCCACGCCTTTGGGAGGCTGAGGTGAGCGGATTGCCTGAGCCCGCAAGTTCGAGACCCGCCTGGGCAGCGAGACCTCATCTCTACAATAAATCAAAAAATCAGCCAGGCATGGTAGCGCATGCCTGTAATTCCGGCTACTTGGAAGGCTGAGGCGGAAGGATCGCCAGAGCCCAGCAGGTCGAGGCTGCGGTAGCCGGGAGCAGCCACTGCACTCCAGTCTAGGTTACAGAGTGAGACTCCAACTCAAAAAAAAATAAAAATAAAAAATTTAGCTGGTGCCCAATTGAAGAAAAAGCAATCTGTTCCCAAGCTTGGAGAACGAGTTGCCAAGAAAGGACCTGTGGGCAAGTGTGGGGACTAGTTAATTTCAACTATGTATGCCTGACCTCGTGCTCCAATTCTGAAATCTAATCCTGGCATATGAGATTATGCACTATGACCAGGCTTCTGCCTGCGTGTCCTTTACTCTCCCCTGCACTGCACACACAGTCGAAACCCACTGGGCCTGACAACCTACAACCTTCAGGTGGTTGTCAGTGGCACCTGTACATACCTAGGACAGCCATCTGTACGTGCTCAGGAACAGCACATTTACGCTGCAATTTATCTTCTCAAAGCCCTTTCCTACATCTCATCTCAATTATCAGAAGGTATGTATTATTATTCCTGTTTGTCAGATGAAAACTGAAGTTGGACTAATTAACTGACTTACTCAACTTAGATTACTAAGCAGTTCAAAATGCCCCACACCCCACAGATGCTTACACATGCTGTCCAACTTAATCCTTCCAATGACCTAGACAGGCAGGTGTTACAGAGCCCCATTTCATAGCTGCAAAAGCTGAAGCTCAGAAAGGTAACAGAATGCTCCCACGTTCACTCAGCTAAAAGAGGCAGCAGAACCAAAGCCTTCATCTTGGTCTGTTGATTCCAGGGCTGCTTCCAGGGCTATCTGCATCAGCTGCAGCTGCCCACTCCCATCATGGCCCACCAACCCGTCTGCACACTACAAAGGATACCGACAATCTGGCTCCCCACATCAGAAGAAATGTCTACTAATCGCACCATACCCTGATGGGCCCTACCTACCTAGTATTAGGACTGTCCGAAGCGGGCCCAGGTGAGTCAAGCCAGAAGGAAGACCTTGCATGCAAAGCATTGGAGGATCTGAAAGGCACACTTCCTTCTTCAGATCCCCAAAGGACTGAGAAGCACTAGGGCCTATCTGCCCTTGGAAAACCTGCTCTCCCAGGAACCTTCGGGATGGGCCTGGGGAGTCGGGCCGAGGCTGGTCCTCCATCCCTACAATAGCATCCCTGCAAGCTTATTCACTCCTCTTTTACCCAAGCAAACATCAGAGTCCTAGAAGCCAGCAATGATGACGGGACCCTGCTGGCTTCTCCTTCCTCATTTTGTATCACTTCACTGGGAGTCTCCTTGACCAAAACCCTGGCAACCATTAATCTTTCCTAACTGTCCTGTCCGGCTGTCTTCCACCATTCCCTGCCTCTGCCAAAGTGATCCCAGCCCTCATCACTCCTTGCCTAAGGAATCACACATGTGCATGAAGACTCAGCTTTAAGGAGGTTTGCTGTAGTAAGGCTTCTAAGAGCTTAAGACAGAGAACAATACAACTTTAGCATAGAAAAAGGTTACACCGGTGATGCTCGTGCATGCATACAGAATGCCATGGAATAACTAAAATCAAGAAGGCAGAACATTAAATGATGTGGAAATATATTCATAATAATCTAAAGTGTAAAAAGCTGGACACAGGGGACCTGCAGTAGGAGGGGGAATAACAGCTGGATACAAAAGGAAACTGTTTTTTGTCTGTTCTGACTATACACAGTACAGTCATGCACCACACAATGATGTTTCAGTCAATGACAGGCTGCATGTACAATGGTGGTCCCATATGACTACAATACTGTATTTTTACTGTATTTTTTCTACGTTTAGACACACAGGTACTCACCATTGTGTTACCAGTGCCTACAGTATTTAGTACAGGTTTGTCACCTACAAGAAATAGGCTAGCCCATATAGCCCAGGTGTATAATAGGCTATGCCACCTGTGTCTGCAAGTGCATTCTGGGATGGTCACATACCTACAGAACAGCCTAAGGATGCATTTCTCAGAAAGTGGCTCTGTGATTAAGCAATGCATGACTGTATATGCAAAAAGTGTGGGTATGCACATATAAAATGTTTCATGTGTATATGTGTATGTGTACATGCAAGTATGTATATGTATATAAATATTAATTGCATATATGGAATATGCAGAATGTAAAGCTGAATACCAGAATATTAACAGTTTATCTGCAGTGGGTAATTTTTACTGTCTTGCAACTCTGTGTTTCTAAAAATTTTTGCATTAAACATATATTACTTTTGCAAGAGGAAAAAATATTAGTGTCCTACTTTTTATGTAAGAAAAAGGTCAAGAATGACCAATATACAATTGGAAGAAGAAAGAGCAAGGTGGGGAACTAGGTTCCCAAGACTGATCCTCGTGTGGTTGTATTTCAGAAATGTGGGATCGGCACAGGGACATGCAAGCTGATGGGGG